GCTAGAAAGGAGTTGTTAACGTCCCTTTCAACAACTTTACTGGCTTCAAAAAAATAAAAGTGAAAACCCTCATCACATATTTTAAAATTCACTTGTAAAATTATTAAAAATAAAACAGAATATATATTTTAATGCAATACTGAAGGCTTGGCTTGCCATCTCAAGCATCTGAAATGTCCAGACCTTTCAGTTAATTGTCCTCATTACCTGAGTGTTGACTGTTTTAACTTTTGTTTCAAAATACATGTAAGCTTTTGCTAAGTTTGGCATAATAAAATCTAGGGATCTATATTCTGAAGTTTAATTGGGGTTTTTTCTTTCATTCTTCAACTAATGAAGGCAAATCTGTTCTCAGTTTTGCAGTAACTGTCACAGGGCTGGATAGATATAACCACAGACTTTGGCATCGCTAATTCTAAATATCTCTTATATCTGTTCAGTAGTAGATAATGCAGTCATGCATGCAAGCAAATAATACTACCACCCCCAAATTAGTATGTGAGTATATATCCCCACTTGGGGGCAGAAAGTTCACTCATCACTGATTTGCCTACTAGCTGGAAAGCAAGATTAAAACATTTTCTCTGTCCCTGCTGGAAACTGAGACTCAGCATTGCTTTCAAAGTAGTGAATGTATCTGTAGGTGACCTTGGTTAAAATACAGTATTATGCAGGCACAGAGAATTGATTCCAGATGTCCCCATTGAAAGGGTAGTAAGTTCTTTATGTGAAATGAAGTGTTATATAACCCTAATACAGGTCACTATGAATTGCATTAAAGAGAAGACAACTTCTGTCAAACCCCTAGAAGCAGAGAAATAAAGAGAATGGTAGAAAAACAAAGTTTCTCCCTCTAATTCAGTAACACTGAGAAGTTTTGTTTACAATAACCCAGGTAAGATGCTAGGTATGGGTGAGAACGGCTGTTTGCTCCACCCAATTCATGTTCACAAGGCTTGCTTTAACCTGCATGAGCAAAGATGGGGAACATAGATGGGGAGTGGCATGTACAGCTGTTTGCCAGTCCCAGGAGCTGCACAGGGAAACTGGAGTATGTAACTTGGGGTGGGGTAAGAGACAGGTTGGACTGTCTGGTTTTTGGTGGCAGGGCTGCAGGAGGGAAGGGGTTATCTGTCTGGAGAGTAGGAGTGTCAGGGTGGGGGCACTAAAATTAGCTTCTGAGGGTTGGGGGGTGGGGGTGCTAGGGAAGAGCACAGTCCTGAGACTGGGGCAAAACTAGGCTAGGCTTTCCCAACCCCGAGGCTGCTCTCCAAATACACACAGGTGTTTCATAGATCAGGTTAACCCGTTCTCAGTCTAAGTTCATTCAGCTCCTCAGGTGAATTAATTTAGAACAGGCCTACCATTTTTTGCATGCAGTTTGCATTTTTTGCACAGATGGGCATTTAGATGGAATTAACCCTAGTTAGGTTGATCTAAATGTAACAGCTGTATGTACCACATGGCATCATATAATTATAACATCTGAATTTCATTTTGACATACAGTCACTCAGGGCAGCTTCTGAATTTGTCTCAAATTTGCCTCATTTAACTCCCTTTGCCTCAAACGTAATCAGATAATCTGTTTTTCCTACCATTACTACTGCAAATTATTAACAACAAATGAAGGCAAGAGTGGTCATAACTCCAGTTATTACATGTATGTATCTTAAAGAATCAGAGAAAGAGTCTAGGCTATAATATGATGATTTGATGTAGAAATAAAAGTATCCCAAGGAAGTTTACAATGACCAATTAAATTCTATGCATCTATTTAAGGATTTTACACTGGCACAGATGGGCAATAACTGGGCACTTTGAAGAAAAAAATAATAGAAACAGCAGTGTCTCAAGAGATTTCATGAACTGTCTGATGCTCTTGCCATTTTTGTTATTAAAAACCATAGGTACTTGTACTTTGTTGTAGGTTGATTTGTGTTACAGCATTTTAATTTGTTTTATTTTATTTTATTTTATTTTGTTTTAAGCAGTGAAATGTTTGATGTTGATGCTGTCAGTACTCTAAGGTAGAAAGGATTCTTTGAAAAGGAAGGCTGTTTGGCAAGTACTAAAGATAGTCAGATTTTGGATTCAGTTAGTCACCTCTGGATCCATAGCTGGATCTCATCAACTAAGAACATCTTGTGCCTAGCTCTCACATGCTTCATCTTGAGTCTTATGATCTGCAGTATTTCAGCAGAATGCAGCTGATGCAGCTGTTACAGCAATTCATAAAAATGAATCTGGATGTGGACACTTTTTGAGGAGTAACATAGATAATGTACTGTCAACACTGAGAACTGCCAGATTTAAGAGAAGAAACCTCCATGTAACATGCCAGCCAAAAGATGCACATAGCTGGGCCTTGAAACTTTCTCTGACACTTCCTATCCCAAGGACTAAACCTATTAGCCCATGTGAAAACTATACATAGCACACACTTTTTTAAACAGTCATGGTCCTGAAATGTAAAGCAATTGTGTACTATATTAACTCTAGAATTGATGACCAATTTGCCATTCAATAACATTCTAATAGTCATTGGATCTTACTCCAACATCAGTTATATCTTTTTTTAATCTTCTTGGTGTTGTACCACATATTTTCCTGTTATTCATCATATTACATCCTTTTTTGGAATTTGAGTGTGTTTCTCCTCTCTTCCTTCTCTCTTTTGCCATCCAATTTTAGCTTTTCCTATTTTTCTTTCTCTACACTGTCTTCCATTCCCTTCCTCAAGGCATTTCATGCCTACCCTCTCACTCCATCACACAAACTCACACCCATGTCAAGCCTGCCCCACTTGCTCAGCACCTATTTACACATATCCACTCTTGGATTCACTCCTTCTGCCTTCCCCATTGCATTCTGGTGCCACTCTTTTCCCTCTTTGCTCTCACACTCCAGGACTACCCTAAAAAGAGCATGGAGCAGCAGTCACTGTAGCTGCTATGCTCAAGGATTGGCCCCATACCTAATCCATTTCCCTCCCTCTGTCGGATATTCCAGATGATCTGTTCTTGTCCCAGTCAGCCCACTGACCTCCTCTCACTTCTTCCTTGCCAAAACAAATAATGGAGTAGGATTTTTCAAACCTTTAAACCTTTTCAACACTTAACTGATCCTCCTCACAAACTCCCAATTTTTCTGGAGGTTCACCAATATATTTTTCCCCATAACTATTTTTCTCATAACTAATACAGTATTATGCAATGAAACATTCTTTCAATAGTACATATTATTTGATGCAGCACTGACACATTATCAAATGACTGTACTGACAGTGAGCTGCCACTGGTTTATATTATAGGACATCAACTACCTGACAAGGTCGATGACTCTCTCCCTTGGAGCAGTGCTGACTGGTTCATCATTAATCATTATGATCTGATCTCCTGGTATAAGTTTTCCTTCAGAAGGGCCGCCTGGAGACAAATGAGAAATAAGCACAAGTTAGTCAAGCTTTGTAAACACACAGCCTCCTCTATTGTATAGCTACTATGTACAGTTTTGTCAGGAGATAAAGTGCTTGTCCACCAAAAGACACTCTGGGAAATCACCTGAGAGCATGAGAAACTGTGTGGCTTTTGCTAGAGCCATTTGGCTCTACTACAATAGTTGCATCAGCAGGATGAGCAGTGCACCATGCAGGGACAAGCTGTTAAACAGGCAATGGGCAACAGCAGCTGGCAGAGAGTGTAGGCAATTTATACACACCTTCTGCCAACTGCTGTAAGGTGGCAGAAACCTCAGCAGTAGAGCTGGTCTTATTCTGCTGGTAGAAAGAAAGGGTTGTCCTACCCTAGCAGAGCTATGAGTATGGACACACAGTTTTGCCAGGAGAACTTGAGTACTGCCAGCAAAACTATATAGTGCAGACCAAGACATGAAGTGGTTTGCACTTCTGCTGATGGTACTTCTCCACTAAAAGAACCGCCTTGCTAGACAGCAAATGTCTTAAATACATGAGTGCCTAGGATTAGGATCCTAAATCGATACTTAGGAACACAAGAAAATAGAGCTTGATTTTTCCAGCAATGCCAAAAGAATATACAGATGATCAACACCGCTGAAAATATGGTGATTTTTATTCAGGTTCCTAAACTAACTATGGAGTTACTTAGATATGAAAGTTTGAGCCAACGTGTATTGACTTCTGAGTATTGAAAATATATTCAAGTACCAATTTTTTTCTTAAAGCACAAAAGCTTTCTGCTTTTCACAAGCAGCTCACAGAAAGGAAGAAAAGTGTCACAGCCTCAAATGAAAAAGATAATGTCTAGTCATTAAACTTCCTTATGATAGGATAAAAAAATCACCACTTAAAATGAAGACTTAAAAGGAAAAAAAATCACTGCCCACTACAATTCATTCAAATAATATCTGAAGTTGTTCTTTCATCCATTTGGTTTAGAAGAAGTATTTTAGGGCCTTGTTATACATTATGCTGTGAGATACACAAATGTTGATCAGTGGTAGTGCTATCTTGGAGTCACAGGCTAAGCATAAGTGCTGACAGTGCGGGGGGACCATAAGTTTGTGGTGCCCCAACTGCTGCCCCCACTGCTTCCAGGCATTGGATCCAGTGGGACTACAGCTCCAGGCCCTGCCATTGGCACAGAAATGGTGCTGCTGCTGTCACTTCCACTGCTGCTGGCCCTGTGGCCCTCTGATAGCACAGTAATTTGGGGAGGGGGCACATGCCCTGCATACCCCTTTGATGCATCATCAACACTTGGAGTTTGGAACAGTCACACCCTTAGTTTAGAAACCTTCCCTGACTGTCCCCCACATGCACAGCCCTGACTTGCCACTAGAGGCCTGGTAAGCAGGGGCAGGATTAGGAGCTGTAGCTCTGAGTTGACACTAGAGGGCTGGTGAGCCAGGACAGGCTTCCATCCCTGCTCTATGGGCCATGGGTTTGAGAGATCCGGGGATACTAGAGGACTTCAACTTGGGTTGCACCTCTATGGGAAGTGGCCACACTTTAATGGAACAGGAGCTGGGTAATGTGGATCAGAGATAATCCTGCCCTGTAGCAGCCTAATTTGAGCCAAATGACGAGTGCTTAAAACCACTTTAAAGTGTTAATGTATGGACAATCCAAGGGCTAAGAGCTCCAGGAGCTGCCCAAAATTACCAGAACCATAGGCAATGCATAGATGGGGCACAGGGGAGCTCGTGCCTCCCTAAGACCACTGGTGCCCTCCCCTTATAGCAAGCACTCTGGCTGGTAGGGGGCATGGAAAGCACTTGTTCCCCCCGCCCTAAAATTGACCCTGCCCCAGTCACCAGCTGGCCACTGGAGGACCTCCCTCCCAGGTCATGCCCCACTGGTGCCCTCCCAGACTTGGGAGGCACCAGTCGCCCATGACCAGAACAAGCCCTTACTTTCAAATCTACTACAAATGAAATTTTACCATGTACAAAAGAACTCTGAGGAGATCCCGCTGAGTTAATCTCCATTCCTACTCTGATGATTCAATACAAACATGCTTCCCAAACTGGCTTTAACGAAAGCTACACTAATCTGAAAAACAAAAGAACAGTCTGGAGGGTACCTTGTTACAGAATTTGCTTTGGGAACAACAAACATTTTTCTCAATGTGCATACCTGGGTTAATGAAATTAAATCTTTTGATACGTTATTTTGTAATACTATGAAACCTAGATCTCTGTGGAGTGTGCACATGTCCACAGTCCCCTACCTGTGGCAAAGTTGACAAAGTTTGCCACAGAGGTTCAATTCTCATCCAGGGGAGGTCCTTAGCTCCCCCTGCCACCAGCCACTGAGCTGGACAGGCTCACTAATACATTTGTATCGTCAGCTGTTGCATCAACCATGGTAACAGATATGGATCTGCACACAAACCGCCTGCGGTGGCAAAGGCTAATCAGCAGGGATCCTGGTTTTCTCTGATAACCCCGACTCCAATTTTTGGATTAAAAAAAAGTAACCCCAAATCCACATTTTTTCCATGATTAAAATGAAATGCCACAAATACAGGGGTTTTCAACCTTTTTTAATCAAAGTACCCATGGCACATGGGACAGGTCCCAGAGGACTGGAAAAGGGCCAATGTGGTCCCTATTTTCAAGAAAGGGAGGAAGGAGGATCCAGGCAACTATAGACCAGTCAGTCTCACCTCCATCCTTGGCAAAGTCTTTGAAAAGTTTATTAAGGCTCATATATGTGAGAGCCCAGCAGGAAAAATTATGCTGAAGGGAAACCAGCATGGGTTTGTAGCAGGTAGATCATGCCTGACTAATCTAGTCTCTTTTTATGACCAGGTTACAAAACACCTCGACACAGGAGTAGGGGTTGATATCATTTACTTAGACTTCAGGAAGGCCTTCAATACGGTATCCCACCCCATACTGGTGAACAAGTTAAGAGGCTGTGACTTGGATGATTACACAGTC